ATTTTAGGCTCAAATGCTACTGATTTAATCTCAATAAGAAAGCATTTTATTTCTAATTTATGTTTGTCAAATTTATTTATTTATTGATTTAATAATTATGGATTTAATAATTATTAATCAATTTAAAAGCTGAATTTCTCAAAGAACGAAATAATAATGTGACCAAATTTGGGGTTTCTTCACAGATCGGTGAAAACTGAATATATTTTCTTCTCTGTGCAGCTGGATTTTATCCCTAATTAAGTGGGGCTTGGCAAGCAGGGTACATATGAATATTTATATATATATATATAAACAAGGGGTAGCTGACCCGATAGGATGCGGAAAATGCACGGGACAACAACAAGGTGAAGCCGAAAGAAGACAAAAAAAAAAAAAAAGAAAGAAGAAAGACTGAAAGACTGAAAGACAGACCGTAAAATATTTGATGGGTCGGGTAGACGGCAAACACACAAAAGCAAACAAAAAGAGTGAAAAATTATTAATAAGCAAGCAAAGAAATACAATAAATAACGAATATTTTGCGCGTGTGGGTTGTAAAAGCCAATATAACAATAACAACAAAGAGACGCTGGCAGACAATAACAATGCATGGCTTGTATGGTCACAGCTTTGTGGGTGTACAACAGGTGTATGCGTGTGTGCGCGAGTGTGTGTTTGATTTAAGTGGAATTAGAAATTATTCACCCACAAATTTCATCTCGACTTGAAAACAATAATAATAAGCCCCAATACAAAAGCACATGAGAACTTTAAGAAATAGAGCAGGAAAAAGAGATTAGAATCGTGAAAATGAAAAGGTCTATTGATCAAAATAAATAGAAATCAATTTAGGATTTTTGTAGAAGAAGAAACTAGTTCGTTGGAAAGGCTTCTATAAATATAATATATCTTCAAGGTGGAATATCCTGTCGAGGCACTTAAATATTTTTATTTTATATGGAAGTTCCTAAGTCTGATTATAATTATTATGACAATTTTTGGGAAAAGTAAAATCGAAATAATATTAGAACTCAGCCAAAACTGCATTCACTTCAATTCGGAAAGCAGTTCCGAGTTATTTTTTAATAGGTTAATTAGTTTGCACACTGAATTTAATTTAAATATTTATTTTAAATTTTATATAATTTTTTATAAAAACCCAAACATAAAAGAAATCTCTAACTCAGCCAAAAATGCATTAAATTTAATTCGGAAAGCTGTTCTGCTCTAGTTTTTAGAGGGTTTAAAAATCTGCATAATGAATTTAATTTTATTTTTTAATTCAAATTATTTTAAATTTTTGAGAATTTAAACGGTTTAAGGGGTTACCCCTTATCAAATTAAAAAAAAAAAATACTAAATAACTTTGTTCCCCGGACTTGGCTAAAAAGATTCGCCTGCTAATCAATAATATATATGATATATAGGGTCTGAAATGACTTCTGTTGGCAAAAGCTTTCCTAAAATCATCATGCTCTTGAGATAGGGTACTCAATCACACACACAAGGACGGGGAGAACAAGGGAATGCGCAACAACGAAATTTCTAACAGCCGTGCAGCGCTGCTAACAGCGGCGTTAACAGCGCTCGGCAACACTAACAGCACGCATCAGCAGACAGCGCGTCGTCTCTGCAATCGCACACATACACGCGCACAAACGCAGGCACACGTACACGCACCGAGCGACCATGTGCGTGTGAGTGGCCGCGGTGGTGTGTCTTTTCATAAACAAAACAACATACATAATTTCCAAATGTTTATTAACAAATCCGGGAACCCGTCGTCCCCTGTTGTCAACGTTGGAAGCGCAATGAAGAAACACAGCTGTTTTCCGGAGCATACGGAGGAGAGGGGTGCGGGCAAAATGTGGCCCTGCCCCAATTTCACCGCAGTCATCGATAACAGTTGGGGGAAAGCCCGATAAGCTAAGCGCCCGACTGGAATGGATGTTTAGACTGTGGAGATCGCTTCTGTAAACACGGTACACTTCCCACGAAATGCGCACTAAAGTAAATAAATACGATTTATCCTTGGGACGAGACAAGGCAGGCAGGCAGGCCGATGGCGAGAGCTAATGTAGGTCATGGAATTTCAAGGGAACAGGTAGCACTTCAGTCCATGGTGATGACCTAATTTTCGCAGGGGTCGCTTAACTCCAGCTCCTCAATGATGTCACATTTTTATAGGACCACCATTACCATTCCAGCCATTTCCATAGGCTGGCTTGGAATTTGGAAAGAAATAAGCCAAACCACCATAGAAAGGTGATCACGGGTTAAAAAAAGTTGACAGAGCTCATCCTAATATTAACAGATCACTCTGGCATTATGACATACATTTTCCGTGGAAACATAAATCATTTTCGGATGTGAGAGGGTTGCCTGGTTATATTCCGAAAACGATATTTTAAGAGCTCTATAAAATTCATCAATAGGTTAGAAATATGTTCTAATATTTTTAACCTATTGATCAATTTTGAGTCTCTTGAAAGATAGTTTTCAGATACATTTGTTCTAAATGTTGTCTATAATGCCATCATAAAGGGGTCGTATTGTATCAGTCTAAGCATCAAAAGGGAATACAAGACATCCTGGTGTCCCGGACTCACCTTTCCGTGGTGGGCTCGGCACAGATCAGCGGCTGTTTCAGCTCGATGGCCTGGCCGTTCTTCTCCTTCAGCTCGCCATTCTCCATGTAGTATTGTACCAGTTCCGGCAGTGTGGCAAACTTTTCACCTGCAATTTTTGGGACGGATTAGTCGGAAAAAGATCCTGAGAAGCGGATGCACAAGCGCCTTACCGCCGTAGAGATCAAAGAAGTCGCCATTGTTTTGGATTTTGATGTGGGTCACCTCGTTGCCGCGGCGCACGGAGAGCGTGAAGGCGCCCGGATTCGAGGAGGAGAGGCGGGCGAGGAAGGAGCCGTCGAATCCCTGCTCCTGCAGCAGTTTCTCAGCTTCGATGCCAGATATCGTTGGGTGGAACCATCTGCGGAATGTGTAGATCTTTTAGTTGCGAGAGCAGTAGTTCCCTTACTGGTTGCCCGGTAGGCGGCGCACAGCACACACTATCATCTCAGCGCCACCGCCACCGCCCCCACCCCAGCAACAGCTGTAGGTGTAACAGCGACAGCAACAGCGGCGGTTTCGGTTACAGTTACAATATTCTCCAGCCGCTGATGCCGTTGCCATTGCCGTTGCCGTTGCATCCACTCTTTCGCTCACGTTCGGCACTTTATTGCACTTTTTATCTCAACAGTTTTTTGTTTCTGTTTTTCTTTTTTTTCGCTCTGCCATTGCTTTTGTATCTACTTATACATATGTAAATAGCCCAGTTGGGAGCGTGAGCGTGTGTCAGTGTATGTGTTGGGTGGTGGTTGGCCGAGGGGGGCGGGGGAACGTGTGTACATATGTGCCACACATACGCACGCACTCCCTGCTGCTGTCGCGCGTGTGTACGTGTGTGTATGTGTGTATGTGCGGGTACATTGTCAAATTTCCTATTGGATTTACCTTCGCGATGACATTTTCTTATTGAATGCACACTTAAAAAATAAATAATGATTACACTTAACGGAAAAAAATGAAACTTATGTGTAGATGCTTTGTGAAACACACAAAATGAAGGTGGGAAATAATGCACTAAATATAATCGATATCAGACGAATCGTTTCGACATTGTTATCGATTGCCCTAAGAGTGGCCGTAATCGAGCAGCTGAAAATACCGACAAAGTGCGCAATTTAATGAGCAGTATTTTCCTGTAATAAAAACTAAAAATACTATGAAAATATAAAAAATAATAATATTAAAACTAAAATTTAACACCCAAAATTTAGGAAAAATAAATTTTAAAACGAAATAAACCGTATTGGCTTTGGCAACACTTATAATACTAAATTTCCGTTAAAATTCAAAAATTTGACATAATGTCAACTGAAAAATAGAGAACCTTTGTCATAGAAAAGCCTGAAATTGTGTAAGCTTAGCATCTCCCACGAATAATGCCCATGTAAAACCCCTAGTAGATGGTTTTTCTTCTTTTTATTCAAGCAATTTAAAAGTTTTGTCGGTTTTTCCATTTTGTTTTGTATATAGCGCAATGCAATGCGTGTATACATAGAACTATGTATTTATTTTGTGTTTTCCTTGTTCTTTTCTTTTACTAATTTGTCAATTTATCAAATAAATATATAATTTCCATTCTAGGCTCGTCGTGGGCAGCGACGCTTTTTGTTATTTGGTTTTTCATTCGACTTTAACATGGACTCTTCAAATAATTTACAAATACACATACAATTATTGGGATTCCTTCTCAATTTTGTTTTGTTTATCATATTATATGATTTATATAGCCTTTGTTTTGTTTTTAGTTTTGCTTTACTTTGCAGAGACCTAAAAAAGAGTCATATTCCATTTAAAGATTTGCGGTAAATACGTTGTTTCATTTTTTATTTTTTATAAAGCGCGACCGTATCGATATACTTTATATTTGTATAATATGGAATCGTAAACATTAATGCATCTTGACATATATTTCATCTGGTTTTTAGGTATGCTCGCATATTGTTTACTAACAAAGGTACCTAAGATTTGCATTAGATGTGATTCAAATATCCTTTAGAAACTCGCGTCCTCCTTGGCTCCTTGGCTACTTTTCTTTCCCTTTTTTTGTGGTGTGAGATGTGAAACATGATAGACATATACGCCGCCGCGCCACGCCGCCGCCGCCGCCGATTTTTGCCTTATTTGACGCGCCGCCGCCAAATTATGAAAATAACGGCGCGCCGCGGCGCGCCGCTGGTGCGGCATCGGCGCAGCTTCAGCGCGGCCTTCAGTGTCATTGTTCTTTATAAAACTTAAAAAAAAAAAAAATAACTCATTAAAATGGCCTTTTTGCCTTATTTGACGCGCCGCCGCCGCCGGTTCTTTCTGACTACTACGCCGCCGCCGCCGAGTCATTTTGACCTCTACGCCGCCGCCGATGCCTTTAACCATCGGCGTAAACCTCTAAAACATGATATATGTAAGGTGTGGTTCGATTTGGACTTGACTGGATGCAATATATATTTATATATATATATGCAGGTTTACCTTAATTTTGTTTCTTATTCTTATTATTTTTTTTTTTATGAATTGTAAATGTAAATGTGTCTGTAGCTTAAAAAGTAAAGGAAAATTATGAATTTATAATAAAAAGAAGAGCAACTGTGCGCCTGACTGATTTTTTTTTTTTTTTTTTTTTTTTAAGATTTTTTTTGTTTGTTTGTATATATTTTTATTATTTTTGTATCGTTATAATTAATTGTATTTATGCTTGTTTGGTAAAAGTAAATAACACAGCGTTTTCTATGCAAATTAAAATTACACTTATGTTTCCTCGTTTCTTGTTTCCAGCAATTACATTTGACAAAACATTTAAAAACAGAACGCGTTTTATGGCCTCGAGCAAAAAGAGTAAACAATAAAAATAGTAAAAAAAAAACAATATAACTTTCGTAAATTAGATGTGACGAAACTTAGAGCGGATTCGGATCCTGACATTGTTTCCCCGTCTTCGGAACACACATTTGGAAACGGCGGCAGGCGGATTCTTACAATCAAGTCATATATAATATATATTACACACAAGTTACATATTGTACAAACTATGGATTGGCTGCCGAACATAATGCAAGCAGTAAATAACCCGATCAAGCGACACACACAGCGTATATATGTATATATTAAGCTTAGTTGGAGTCGCCTTTAGAGCAAACGTCTTCTTTTTAGATTCGACTTATTGGTAGAGTTACATAGAGGCGGAGAAGTGAGTATTATTGCCTTGGGAGGACTGGCTGGCTATAGCTTTAGCGCGCTCTCTCCATAAATATTTCGTAAGATATATGTTTTATGTGTCTATATAATATGTGTGTTACATGTATATATTTTATTGCATATTTGTTCTATCGAGCCCGCCTGTGCTTAATCTTCTCCTGCTCGGGGAAGAAGTTACACGGTTTGCATTTGAATAATAACATAAAGTACGAACTATACTCATTAAATTAGGTGTATGCTGTGTGTGTGTTGTGTTGTGTTGTGTTCTTGTATATAGATGCACGGTATAATTGTATATAAACACAGACAGAGAGATAGAGCGATAATAGCTGGGATTCCTCGGCGACTATGGCTGCGGCGGCGCTGGCGCTTATGTGGGGCAGAGCACCTTCAGTATGTAGTCCGTGAGGAGGGCGGGCACCGTGGGGCTGTCCTCATTGATGGCCTTGAGAACTGAAGAGCAGGAGAATAGGATTATTCGATTTTAGTTTAAAAATCACAAAAGATGGCTCAACTCACTTTTAATCAGGACCTGCAGTGACTGATTATTGGGCGTGCCGTTCTCCAGATGATACGGAATGACAGTGGTCAAGTACTTGGGCTCTGGACCTGCGCAAGGGAATTTAATAATTAATAATTATTAGTAATCCCCTTAAGCTTTGGTTTGGACAAAGAATTTACCTTGAAACTTGCCGCGCTTCTTCTCCACATGGTACTGGCGTCGCTTATTCTGGACGGCAAGGAGCAGCGAGATGAAGGAGTTCTTCAGCTCCTTCTCAAACTCCAGCTCGTCGCGCAGGGCCAGCTCATTGATGAGCGTCTCGCTCAGCTCCTGGATCAGCACCTCCATCTCCATATACAGCTCGTTTAGCTGTGTCGTGGTCAGATATTGCAGTTCTGCAAAAGAGTTTTACGGATTAGGTGAAATTTATTTTATAAAAAATTCAAAAAATGTAAAATATTCCTTGCCAAACTCACTTTCCGCATAGAGTGGCGCCCCGAGAACCTCACGCGCCTTCTCAATAACCTCCGACTCGCAGGTCTCCGGCTCGTCCAGCGGGCTCCCTGCCTCGTCCATGATGTCATCAATCTCCTTGATCACCTCCTCGACCGTCTTGATTGGCTGATCGTCGAGATCGCTGTTCAGGCCGTTGAGGATCAGGGCATGCATGTCCAGGTCATTGGCCACCGCCTCGTCCTCGCTGGTCAAATCGTTGAACTCATCTCCGGGTGTCTGGGCATCCAGGCCCGATCCCGAGCCCAAACCATTGCTGTGTGAATTCGCCTGGTGGCTCTGATGGAGCAGCTGTTGCTGCTGGTTACGCGCCTGCTGCTGCTGCTTGGTTTGACTCTGGCCCAGGTTCAAGGTGGGCATGTGCATCTGACGGGTGTACGACTTGGACCAGTCGATGGGCAGTATATTGCCAAAGTTGCCCGTGATGGTCCACCACATTCTGGAAGAAGGGAAAAGAGCAGGATGTTATTTATAACTAGGTAATTAAATCATTTCATTCAAATTGAAGTTATTCATTTTGCGAATGAAAAGGTATTTCATTGAAATACAAAAAACTTAAAATTTAAAGGAAAGGAAACTGGTGAAGGAGAAGCGGGATTTTCCAAACGCTCCAAGTGAAAGAAACGCCATCTATGTGGAGTGCCCTGACAGCCGGTAATGAGTTTCTTTTTCCTTTCATCGTCGTGCATTCTTGGCACAGCTCTTGGGCACCTCAACCCCTCACTTTACACCAGTTTTCCGGCCTAGGAAAATGCTCATTTGGACCAACAACGAATGTTCTCCGTTGGGGCCACCCACAAACCCCGAGTGCTCATACTTATTGGGCAAAAAAAAGAAAAGAAAATAAAGAAAGAACGAAGAAATATATGTATATGTTATGCGGGAAAGAACTGGCACAATAAACTGCAAAGTGCGGCAGAGAGGCACTGGGCTTGCTTTTAAGCTACTGACTAATTGCCCGATTCTACGAGCCTCCGAGTCGCCGCTGATTCTCCCGAGATAATGATGTGGCAAGTCCACAGTTGCAGCCCAGGGATTGGGGCAACAAATGTCAATGGGCAAGTTCCGCATAAAAATGTACAGTGAAGCCTCCATAAAGAGCCAAATGAAATCTACAAGTCTTTTTCTTGTTTAAAATATTCCCCATAAATATTCAACTTTTCCAACTCGAAGGCCCCGACTCTTGGAGTCATTCAAATTCTGTGGCACTCGGCATTCACAGTGGTTGAGTTGCCTTTGGCAATGGGCCCACATTAATGTCGGAAGAGTTTGTCTCTGTCAGACAGTTTGTCTGTTCGCTCGAGTTTGCTGGCACATTTGCTATCAAATTTCATGATCATTGCCAATCATTTAATTGCCCCTCCTCGTCTACGACCACGACCACGTCCACCTCCACTTCAGCTTCTGTGTGGATTTGCCCCATAATTATTCATGCTCTACATTGCCCGGCAATTGACTGCACTTTGTCGATTACCCAAAGCTGACTCACTGGAAAGGGGGGTCGATTTATGGAGGAAATGTCAGTAATTCTGCAGAAGAGAGAGCCAAGTCTGCCGGGAAATGTCAAATGTGACAAAGAAAAGGTAATTGCAATTACCTACAAATAATATTTTTGGATGGGTCCTTAGCCTCAGGCAACACTAAGTTATAGAAATTCACTAAAGATTGTCATGAGTTTTCGGGAAATAATATTACTCATCTCATCTCATCTCATCTCAAAACCCCACAAAGCTTCTACAGGAAACTCTTGATTAAAATACTTATAATTATATACTAAAATATATTATTAAATATTATTAAGTTTCAGAAAAATCTCCCCTTAATAGTAACCATTTTTGAGACAACCCTTCAGCACATTAATTCCCTCGGACGGCATCCATTTTGAAGAAATATTTTGTACGACAACAGCGGATATTTATTTTTAAATTCAAAAATTCCGCTCATCATCATTTCGTCTAGCTTTTTCGCTGGAATCGAATTAAAATGTTCCAGCTTGCGATGAACAAAAATCCACAAAATAAAACAGCAGCCATAAGATGCAACGAAGCGGCCAAAGAATTATTGTGGAAAATACTAAAGACTTAAATAAAAAAAAAAGTAAAAAAAATAAAAAAAACGGAATAAAAACAAAGAGGGGAAAATAAATAAAAGAAAATAGCAGCAGAAATAGCAGCGAAAAATGAAAACCGAAAAGATGAAAAATGTGCGAAACAAGCAGAGCGCATAAATTGTTCGTGACAACACGCGGAGGGGAGATGATGACCCAAGGGGGCGACAGCGTCAGGTAAATGAGTGTATCCACACGTACAGTGCGTTTCGTGAAGGTAGAATCTAACAGGAAACAAGCCAGTAGATGGGAGAGATAAAAAACGATAGCGAAAAACACTTAAAATAACATGCAAAATAATTATATTAAAATTATAAATAATTTTAGTAAAATTCCCAGCTGGGATGTAGCCTTCACACTAACATTGATATCTGAGGCAGGTCAGGCATATAGAGAGGAGAAGTTCAATAACATATCGAAAATATCATAATCTTTGTTATATTGAATTTTCATATACCTAAAAAATGTCGCTTGTAACGTTTAAATATTGACATTACCAAAAATGTTCTATTAGTTTTGTTATTTAATTGTCTCTTTTACGATATGTGAAATATAATATAAATTTATTGAATATAAGTATTGAATATAAGTATCGCAATGTTTAAACATCGATTTATATATCAAATTATGCCTTAAACATAAATAAATTAGCTAGTCTATCCGCCACTGCTTAGTTTTTTTAAATAATTTAAATATATTTTTTTATAATTTAAGGAAATTCTTTATAATTTTAAGAAAATCTCTAGATTACAGGTGTCTATCCAAGACTGCTTAATGTAGTTTTTCTAATATATTTATAAGAAATTTGATCATAAGATGCACTTTTTTTTCCAAAAGACTAGCTAAAGTAGAATTAAATATGTTATTCTGGAAAATCCAAGCTTTACTGTAGCAGAATTATATCTCTAGATCTGTAATAAATCTAGTATTATTATCATTGGGTCTGAAACGCACTGTCCACACCAGCGAATACAGAACGTGCCAGTGTATGGGAAACTCGCCTACTGCAGAGGCTGGTGGCTGTATCTCGGTTTGGTTTGTGTCGAGGCCGGCTATATAATTTATATACATACATGTTTCATTGAATACTAAATGCGAGTCTCTGCGATGATGTGGGCAACACTTTTGGTGCGTACTGTGACGGAGGAGGGGCACACATTACGGATGAATGTTTAAACTGCCATCAGAAGAGCAACTAATTACGCGTCACAACTCTTTTTTACTTATTTATTCTTATTTTTTGTTTTTTTTTGTAGTTGAGAGCTAATCTAACTCGGAAATGGTCGTGCATCAAGTGGCATAATACGCACTCAAATTGACACATCAGAATTATGCGGGGGAATCTGGGTCACATTTCCCCCCCAGTGGAAAATGTTGATGGATTTTCTATGGGTTTTGAGCTTTTGGAAATTTTCTAAACAAAATATTAGACTGTGGAGACTATTTAGCTTAGCTCTTTGAAAATTAAATGGTTTTTAATATAAATATAAAAGGGGTTTCCCCTCTTTATATGACCTTCTATCAAGTACAGTCGGAAAAGATACAGTATTAAATTGTTGAATTAAAAATGTTTAACCTATATATAAGTTTCTAAAGTAGGTGAATTTACGTTTAGTGATTTTTCTATAATTTAGCTGCTTATTCTTTTTAATTTCTCCAATTATCCAGTAACCCTATATATATTCCTATTAGGAATTCTTCTCTGGTTAAACGGTTCTTCGCATTCCATCGATTCTTCAAATATCAATTGTTTTTTAAATCAATTTTTAACAATTATAAGTCTCTAAATTAGGTGCTTTAACAGCTTATACTTCCTTATTTCTCCCTTTACCTAGTAACCCCATATGTATTTATGTTTAGAACTCTTCTCTGGTTCGACGGTTCTTTGCATTCCATCGATTCTTCCGTAAAGCACATCTGGCCAATTAATTTCCTTATCGCTGACAACCAATTCCGATTACATTCCATTGCCAGAAGTGAGGCTTCCATCATCGTCGCCTTGGGCAATTAATACCCCAAGACTCATTCGCACCCAGAGGCAATTATAATGATAGGCCCCATAGATCCATATATCTTATAAAGATGAAATCTTGCCGCTGGAACACTTATCATAAACGCTGGATGAACCCTGAACTCTTTTCGGGAGCTCTTCGGTGTCGATTTAATGCGGGTTCTTATCTCTTTGGGGCGAGGCGACCCTGACCCCATAGCTCTGAGGCGTGGCACGAATATGAATACGAATATGGAAGCAGTAAGAGCATGAATATGAATATGCGGGGGGAATGGTGCCACATGTTCACATGTCCGACAATTAGCGGTCTTGGGCTGGTGGCAGATTCTCTCTTTAAAAAAAAAAAAATAGAATTAGAAATAACACAAGAAACGCCCCGCGAAACATGAGCTCATCATTTAGACAAACATTTAACAAATAATAACAAATAATGAAATGGGCGGGCTAAGGTTTCTAGGAATGCAATCTACGAATTTTTAATCACTCTATCTTTTTAAAATTAGATTTTGAATATTTATTTAAAGTTAAAGAAAATATTAAAGGGTATCTTTGGCATCTCTGAATATTAAAATATTCGAGCTTGAAATTATATGTATCTATATTTTATAGACTGTCAAAATATAAATTTAAAATATTCTAGCTTGTGATTTTTGTTACAAAAACCGTTTTAAAAACTGTCATCCTAAACAGAAATCAAACATTTTTAAAATGCTGTCAAAAAGGTAAGCAAAGCTGTATATCAAACCTAATTTTAAATATTTTTTTAGGCTGTAACAAGGAAAACAGACACACTCATTTTTTCTTGATGGAAATTTATGATGAAAAATTAAGAACAAAAATAAATATTTTAATGAATTTTAATTGCGTGTACTTAGATAACCAAATAAATTTGTTGTCTTTATTTTTACGACTGATGAATGAATCAGCGCCGCACCATTTAGCTGATGAAGCTCATGATGATGATGAAGCTAATAATGATCATGCTGATGATTAGATGATGATGATCAGTCAGTCATTCAAGCTGCCCAAAGCTGTCCCCCCAACTTTTCCACTTTTTCACTCAATTGGCTTCATTTCGTCGCCCACACTGAGTTGACTTAATATTTAGTTGTTTTTTTTTTTTTGTGTTTTTTTTTGTGTTTTTGTATTATTCAGTTAATTGTGCTTGGCATTTTTCGAGTGCTGCTTCTTCCTGGCTTTTCGAATGTCTGTGGTTTTTGGTATTTCGGAATTTCATAGGAAACGAAATATTCGTCGGCGGGTCTCATGAAAGACATGAAAAACGAACGAACGAACGAAAAAACACAACTTTCTAATATGGTTGCGGGGGTATTTTTGTTGTATTTTTGTTGTAGTTTTTTATTATGATTTTTATTGGAGTCGAAGGGAGACGCAGCTGGAGTTGGGAGATTGTTGGCATGGAAATGCCGTTAACGAGGTAAGCCTATACATGGAGTATAGGCCAAGATTCAGATCTTTAATGAAGATTCTTTTATTAAAAATTGAATATATTTCAAGGGGAATAATACGTAAAAAATTCCACTAAATTCCATACTTCTTTAATTTATTTTTTTAAGTTTTTTAAAATAATTATTGTTTTATCTTTAGCTAGTTCAGCTGTTTTTTTTTAACTTGAAGTATATTTCTATATATATTTTTTAATTTAATCTTCAGCTGTTTTTTGGGCTTATGGAAGAGCTACATATTAGATTTCCCGCGCTGCTTTAAACTCTTCAATTGTCTTGCATTTTCTTTTTTTTTTTTTGTAATTGCTATTGTTTTGATTTTGTTGCGTTTTCTTTTTGGGTTTTGTTTTTAGGGTTCGTTCACATGTATTTTCACTCAACCGCAACATTCACACATTTAATTTTCGGCAATAAACTGGTGGAAAAATCAACGAATACCTGATGCCCTTTAAAATGGAGTTTTAAGCTATATTTACTTTTGTATTTACTTAATTAATTCTTTAGTTTTAATATATTTAGTTAATAAAATTTGCACTTGGAATATTTTGTCTTTTTTTTTAGAGATTTTAAAATAAAAACGATTTAATTATCAAAATACAAAATAAGCATAGGTTCAAGTGAGGCAGACAAGAAAATAGCTTAGATTTTGGCATGCTATTTATTTATTTTTTTTTCAGCATTGTCTTTTATCAGCATTGTCCATTGTGCGGGGAGTGTGCAAGTTTTCGCTTTTTGCTTTTCGTTTTTTGGGATTTTTTTTTTTCTGTATTTGTTTTTGTATTTTCCCTCTGACCCTGTGCCGCTTATTTTCCAAAACATTTTTAGTGGCGACACTAGGAAAAATGTATAGGAAAATGCCACCTCAGACCTCAACGAAAATAAAACAAAGTCGAGAGGTGGGAAATTCGTGTGTCTTGTTGCACACACTTCAAAGTGCTTCTAATTTTAGGCCGTTCACACTTTGCGTTGGCACAGGAGTCGGCACATCGTTCATGGCTATATAGACCCATATAGAAACGAATTCAGATCGCCTAGCCCTGTGTCTCTGGGAAATGGGATGGAAAATTGGGGACACGTCAAATGACAAAATGGGGGAAAAAAAAGAAGCAAAAGGGGAGTTTCCTTGTTGCCTTTAGTTTCAAGGCTACACTGGAAAGAAACAGGAACATAGTTCTGATTCTATGTACAAAAATAATTGGTAATAATGGTAATAATAATCGTTACACATTAATGTTAAGTTTAAATTAGATTAAGTTTAAATTAAAAAGTTTAATACAATTTTTTTGAGAGAAGAATTTACGCACATTTTAAATTAATGTGAAAAGATGTGCCTAATTAGTTTATTCTTGCTAAAATTTAATAATAATTACTAAGCTGATCCTGAACTAATATTTAAATACTAGTTTTTAAATTATACTATAACTTTGATTTCAAAGACCTTATGTTTTGCCCAGGTGCAACCGAACAAAGCCAGGTAAACACACTTAAAAATGTACGAGGATTTTCTGCCGTTTTGTTGCCATTATTTCTGTTGCGTGTCTGAGCAAAATCAATTTATAATTAATTTGTATAAATAGGCCATTAACATTAGCCGCGAGCTCTTGGCTTCTCCCCCTCTCTCGGCTTTTGTTTCTGTGTGCCTATTTTTTTTTTTTTTTCTTCTCTGCTGCTTTTTTCTCCAACAGAAAAGAGTATCATCTATGGCTTCCATGGCAATCGAAGAACAGCGTCCGAAACCGCAGAAGAAATTGCTGGCAGTTATGTGGCCCATAAACAAATAACAGCGAATAGTAATAATAACAAATAAAAAGCACACTGGAGGAGAAGCAGCTTACTGTGAAGCAAAACGGTTTACTTATGAACTCAATTTTGGCTCAGTTTTAGCTCAAAAATGTGTAGATAAAAATGCTAGTTATAGTTTTTCCATATTTCCCTGACTTAACATTTTTTTTTTTGCCTTTTCTTTGGCTTTTCCCCCATTCGTTTGCCAAGATGACAGCCAATTCAGTTGCGCTGAGGATGTTATGCAAAAGAGTTATTTAAACAAAGAGCAGACAGACGCCTCCGCAGGCGACAAGGACGCTCTGTTTGGCGAAGCATCCGGTGGAGCATCCTTCAAGGAAAAACCCATACCCACTTCCACTTCCACGTCCACAGTGCATCCGCGCATTCGCGCAATTCAATGCCGGAGTCACTGCCAGAAGCAGATACACAGCGAAGAAAATATCAGTCTTTAATTAAAGCCTTGTTTTTATCATGTAAACCAAAGGTATAACAGCCAAAAAACCAAAGGTATAAAGCCTCACCAGCCGGTTTAATCTAGCCATGTCCGCTTGTCCGCCTGTCCGTCCGTCAGAGAATAAATTATAAATTTTGCCATGCCCATTTTTGTCTTCAAAAATTACCAATAACCATAACTAATGAAAATAACAATAATAAGAGGACATTTTGGCTTAAAGTAAAATTTAATTTAAAAATTTAATATAAACAAAAAACATAGAATCAGTTACTAAATATGGAAGTAGCTTTGTTTATAATTTATGTACCTTTTTTTCACCCTAATACCTATTTTAAAAGGATAAACCCATAATAAATCCATATCTTACAACATTTTCTTGAGTGTACGGGGGGCACAGCTTCAAGACATTGCCCCCCGGCTTACTTACTTATACAACTTCTCTCTCACAATTTTTTCTCTCTTTCTCTATATATTTTTTCTCTCTCTCTCTCTCTCTCCTGTCAATTGTCCTTGACTGTATTCCAAAAGTTATTTTGTTTGTTTGCTCGCCCCTGTTATTTGTTGATGATGTAATATGCCGCAGCCAAGAGCCCCGCTCAACCGAAGAGCTCGTGCGGGGGGATTAGTCATCAAATTTATATATCTCTCCCTCTACGATATATGTACATATCGTTTCAGACAATTCGAATATTCGAATGGCGCCAATATAGGCGAAAAGTCGCGGTCCCTCCTTTGGGTGAATTGAGTGAGGTTAGGTCGGGGCAATTAGCATTTGGTGGGGGGGGGTTGCCTAAGAGGTTAATGTCCTTTGCCACCCGCTCTGCCCCACACCATACCACACCACACCCACCCATTCCTCCCCCTTAAGTGGCTGCAGTGGCAACCCCTAAACAAAAAAATAGCTGTTGGTAAAAGGGTCCGTAGTCCGAAAAGTCGTAGCCGCCGCCAGGAAGTGGCAAGTGGCTCTCGCATGCAACTATACTGACTCCCTGGCCTGGCTAGTGGCAACAACTACCCCGCAGGCCCTTTAATGCATTCAAATTGATAAGTATCCGGCACAATCCCACCCCGTAAAACACGCATACGACACGTTGGCGGCATGACTCATCCGCCCTGCCGGCTGACGGGGACCTGAACAACAACTATGTATACTACACGGAGAGAAACTGGCTCAGATAATTCTTCGAAATATATATTTTCAGCTTCTATTAAGAATTTGTTTCTTAGTGGCTATGATGACGAAAAAGTTATTGACGGTAAAACTGCGAGTGGTCTTAATAATCCTCATTGATATCCATATCCTTCATCTTTATCCCTCATAAGCGATAGAGGCTACAAAATTTAATCATCATCCTCGTCCGTCTCCTCGATGGGAGGGAGCACGTCAATGTGGCGCCATGAATACTCCAGACTGGAAAACATTCCGTACTCCGACAGGGGAAAATAAAACTCGGTGTCTAAGCCCGTATTGGATATGGATAGCGGCGAAGAAATGGCCCTTAAAGACGGCGATCCGTCATCGGAATCAAGGTCCATCTGGTCAGGCAAGGTGCCGCCGCCTATCTCGTGACCCTGCCTTTGCCCCTGCAGGAGCGTCCTGATCATGGCCTCGCACTCGGCCAGCTTCAGCCTTAGCTTACAGTTCTCTGCCCGACAGGTGGCCAAATTCAAGGAGTCGCACAGGGCGATCTTGGTGTTGTCCGACTCGGGCGATTTGATGCTGAGTGCGAAAAACCAAGACTAAATATTTAAAGCTGACTAATTACTGCGAGCTAAAACTTACATGGATAGAATATCGGATTCGTTAATACCGGTCTGGGAAATGTGCGACATTTTGAGACTTGAAATTTAGTCGAAAACCCTATTGATTTTTTTATAAAAAAAAAAAAAACTGACTTTACTTATTATTTAGATTATTTCCGAAAGATATCTTCGATTTGACTAAACGCAACTTAACAAGCCAAAAATACCTATGACACTACTTTCAAAACGACTAAGTTCTATCTAGAAGAACTTTTCTGGTTAATTCGGTGCAAAACGGGCTACTTTTCAAATATTTTTTTGTAAAAGTAAAGTAAATTTTAAGCTTTTAAAATGGCACTTTTCAGGAGAGCGCTTTTATTTTTGATTGCATTAATTTAGCTTTAATTGATGTAAAACTTTGACACTATATTCTTAAGATGTTAAACTTCTCTAAAAAAAAAAAATATAAAAAACAAAAAACTGAGAGAAAAAATTATTAAATACCTTAGGTTTTTTTTACATATTTTAAGATATTTGCAAATATTCTCGCAGTGCCCTTAACTTTATTATTGTTTTTATTTGCCACTCATGTGGGGGAAAATTGCCTTGTCTTGCCGCCTAGGCCTTGTGCTGATGTCCTGTGAGCCAAACAACCCCCAATTCCCCGGGCTAAATTCAACCCCACTATCTTTGCAGCCACAGCCCTGGGAACTGATTATTTATAGCGCCGAGACCCCTTTTAATTGATTACCATGCAGTTCAGTGCTCGGGCCAGGTCTGTAAAGGAAGCCCGATCACAGCTTAGGCTGCTCCCCATAAAAGTCAGTAAATTCAAACAAATTATCCTGGAGTTGGATTTCATTTTGAAGTGAAATTAATATTTTCCCAGCCATCGTAAGAATTATTCAATTAGAAGGTGCTTTGCAAATAATATGCGTTTATTTTAAAGCCAAGAACAAGGAAGAAAGCTATCTTCGGTACACCGTAGTTTGTATACCCTAAACAAGCAATCTCTAGGTTATAACTGATTTCAATGCGCTTCAAGGCTGTAGAAGACCACAAACTGGTTACGGATTCCCTAACCAAATGCCAATTAAGAGCAATCAACGCTCCGGCATTGGTTTGGATGGATTTGTGATGCTGCAATAGATTCGAGTATCGAGTGCCGAGCGTTGAGTGTTGAGTGTTTGAGTGCCTTGCGTGTGGTCAATTAATAATCGAGGCCTTAATCGATCTGACTGCAAATTGCGAGCGATCAAAGCCCGACTTCCTCAGATGCACTCTCCCCAACCCCAATCCTCTAAGACTGCAAGAGTTGACCAGGCCAAAACGAAGCGGCTTTTGGCATTTGCCGTAAATGGCTGTGAACAAGTTTTTGCAATGGAACAGTCTATAAAGCTTATAATAAACCAGAAAAAGGTGGGTTAAGTGACTGAACAAACATGTAATAATTATTATTTTTGGTTTAAATCGGATGTACTTATAATATGGTAAGAATTTTAGAATTATTTTGGAACTTTTTTAAACCTTTTTTAGAGTTATCCACACCCAGTATTCACTGTACACGCTTATACTTATGCACTTAGGTGCAACAGTGAGGCTTACTTAATGCGACAAGCAGCAGATGCCAGAAATATTATGACAGCAGGATGCAGGACATGGCCATTGAACTCGCCCGTTGCGAAACAGGAATCGATTGGGGTCTGCAAATCTTGAAATCCACTTGGCAACAGAACTGGGTCGCCGCCAGCAACATGATTCCACCACTCCATGACGACGGACACCACCTTTTGGGCCCATGTCGCGTGTTTCACTGCCAAAAGAAACCGGAAGACCCGGCTCTCCATATGGCGACCATGTCGAATATGCATACTCCGCATATGGTCAGCTCGATTGCGATTGTGATACGTGCTTTTAATGCAACGTACTTTGATTATAGTCTGACTGAGCCACTATAATCAATACCTTTTAAAGAGTAAATAAGACTGAGAATTTTACTAGTTACACTTTTATTTCATGACTTTTCCTATGTACACTTTTATGTTTGACAAATTTATTACATTGAGGAGGAGAAGCTGGTCGAATCTAGAACCATCGTGCTAAAGTGTACCACTTCAGGTGCCTCTGCTGACAAGTGCTTTTCCGCTTTTCCGCGTTGACGCAACTTTTCCGCACGTGCGAAACGCAGAACTTTGTCCTTGGGGCTGCTGCACAACTAATCAGAGCGGAATGCAGTGTCCCCGGGCTGGGTGTTGGAACAATAGAGCGACCTTCGGTCCCAAGCAAACTCACTCAGCACAATTTCCACGGAATCATTATTGAATTGAGTAAATATTGACATCAGGCATTGACGTCGGTACCGAGAGAAAAGAACAAACCGAAAAAGGAGGCAAAGAACTAACATCTATAAAGGACTTAATCATAGCCGAATTAGTGATACCCTGGCAGATATGTCAATATGGAGAGAAAGAGGGATTTTTAAATAATAATAATAATAATAAATATTCATATTAATATTATAATATTATTATTAATAAGCATTTAATTATAGAGTTTGCAAAAGACGTCCGTAAGTTTAAACTTTGTATATACTTTGAAGAAAAGTGGATTTCTTCGTTACAGATTGGCTTGACACACCCTGTGATACCCTGTATTTCCACCTCTCTCGCATGCAAGTGGAGAACAAAAGCGATGACAGTTAGTTGGGCATCCCAAGCAGCACTCGCGCGGATAAGAGAGAAAGAGTATTGGGGAGCGGGAGTGCGAGTGGGAGGTGGGGAAGAGAGAGATTTGTAGAGAAGGCCAAGGGTGCAGCAGGTAGAGGTGAGAGCGGTGGCAATGAATAAAAACCAAAACGCAATTAAGAAAAACTGCAGCAGAGAGCGCACAACATGGGTTGACTGCGCTGCTGCAGAGGTTTGTCAATGCGGAGGTCGAAGATGCGTGGAGAGGGAAATGCGAAGCCAGAGCATCTTTGGAGGGGTCAAAGATGAAGCCCAAAACCGTGGAGAGAAAAACAAAAGTGAAGAGTGCAGCGGGTTGACCAGTCTCTTTTCCAAAGTAAATCAATTTATATAGATTTTAAGGCGAATTAGTGAGTGTGTGTGGCACATGGATTATTCATTCAGCCGTTGCAACTTTTAGTTGGAATTTTAATCATTGCAATAAAATGCGATTCAATATGTTGGACACACACACACACACACAAAAACACGATACATTTAGCAACAGTAAATACAAGCTAAAGTGAACCTTTTGTAACTAACCAAATTTAAAACAAATCAATATTGATTTAACTTTGGAAATATAGTTTATGTTGTTGTAAGATTTTTTAGTTATTAAATTCAATTTGTCAGCTAGCATTTTAGCCAAGTTCCACTGTATTTTTATTTATTTTCACAGGATGTGAGTGAGTATTGGCGCTCGTAAACACACACACACACACACACAAACACATGGACCGTGAGTGTGCACGCGATTATCAAATTTATGGCTGATGTCAGCAGCAAGGGAGAGAGATGGAAAGGCGGGTAGTGTACAATACATAGTATTATTATTATTATTATTATTATTGTTGTTTTCGATTTTCGATTTGCATTCCACTTGAAAACATTTCTTCGGAAGTGAGGCTGTCACCGTCTCGTGCTCTTTTAAGCCCTCTCTTCCGTCCTCTTCAGACTCATCGCTCCTTTCTCCACCTCCACTCTCCCCAGCTATCGTCACTGCACTCCCCCAGCGATCATTCCCCCACTCTAGACAGTGATGGCAGAGCTTCTTAAATTTACTTGAAAGGAACAGAATTGTATCCTAGGTAATAGGATTCTAGGATTTCTAGAACAAATCAAAAATTGAATTGCGATAAAAAAAAAAAAAAAAAACTCTTAAAAATGCTCCTTATGTTGCATAGTCCAAATTTACACAAAAATAGATACTGACTTTATTAGTTACAGAAATCTCTGTACTCTCCAATACACAGACTCTCCACCGCCATCGGCTTTCCCAGTTTTCTCCACTGGCCAACGCTCTGTGAAGTGTTTATCTGTCCAGTTGAAGTAAAATGATTTATTGCCCTCCATTTGTGCGATTGCCACTTCCCCCACGCAAGTGGATCAGCATTATAATGGGGTTATAACTACGTTTACGGGGTGCATCTATATACATACATACATAAACACAACCAAATGCATATCGACGAGGCGCAACAGTCGAGCGGCCGAAAAGCGGATGAAATCGGTCGGCACAGCTCCTGGCACTTTTATCGATCCAACAAGAAGGCAGGCGGCAAGAAGACACCCACCCTGCTCCGTTCCGGGCAGGATTACGTCGCTATGTGGCGCCGGGCTTGCTTCGAAGGAGGTGGGTGGGGGAGCCAAGGGGTCACGAGGTTACGGACTAGGGGCGGCGGGGGGCAGCAGTCCATGTCCGGAGCATGCGCACTTTTCAGTGAAAGCGTCGTAATAGACACGAAAGGCACGCAAAAACATCGCAGAATGCACTTTACATAACGCGGATTGGAATTTGGCGCATGCTGCACTGCACTGCACCATTTCGAGCTTAGTTCAAAATGTTAGGGGTTTGCTTTAGAGATAGATATTTGATAGAGATCCTTTCTACCATGCTATACCCTATTTTTATCCCACCAAAAAGTCACGTTCTGCATTGAGGAAAATCCTTAGAATTTTGGTGTTTCAAAAAATATTCCAGGTTCATCCTTTAAAATGTGAACAAGCAATATTTAGATCGTATTTTACAGGTACTAGGGCTTTAACTTGAAGATCACCCCGGGGTCTTATTTATTTTAAGACTTTTTGAAGATTTTTGAAACATCTCACAGTATGATGAGAGTATTAAAAAGTCCCACTAGTAATTCTCATTTTGCAAAATATTAAAAATGGATTATCCATTGGACAAAACTTTTCCGCAGTGTAATAATAAGAGTAATATGTAGTTGGACTTACTGGCATTCGTTCATGATCTCCTCCTGGCTGCGCACCTGCACCGGAGCCAGCTCCTCGACGTTGGCCTCGTAGTTGCCGAAGCACTTGGTGATCTTCTCGTCGAATGTGTTGACCAGATCCTCCAGGCTGCCACCGAAGGTCTCCGTGAAATTGTCCACATTATCGCCGCCGGCCATCGAACGTTTGTCCATGCCAAGCACCTCGCCCTCGCCGGGCACCAGGCCCACATCGGAGAGGCCCAAATCCAGGACAGTTCCACCCTGCATAGTGTTGCAGTTGGGACTGATGGAGCCGGAACCAGCTCCTCCACTGCCGCCGCCGTTCTTGCTTACGTGCGCATCGCGTACGGCATCCTCGAGGAGACGCAGCTTGGCCGCGTCTGGCTTGCCGCCGACGCCGGCGGCGGATCCCTGATCCTTGAGATTCAGATTGAGCGTGTCGTTGAGGGCATTCTGGTTGGAGATGAAGTCGCAGCCGCCCCACTCGTCCGTCTCCTCGAACTTTGCCAACGGAGCCTCGAATTTAAGCTCGGCCATTTTGGTGCCGAGGTCACGCATGGCACGCGCAAAGGATTCTCTCAAGGATTCCCCTTCCGTTCCGAAGCTGCTCTGCTCTGTTTTGGTCTGGTCTGGTCTTGGGGGGGAGGGGGGCAGTGTTTACTCAGCGGGAGCGGGAGCGGGCAGCGTATACCGTGGAGTGTGCACTTTTCTCCGACTTTTCCACCGCTGCTACTACGGCTACGGGGACGGGGGCTACACTGTGGCTGCGGAAATTTTGCAACCCCTAATTCTGGGGGTGGCGATGGCGATAGCTATGGCGATGGCTTTTCCGCAGCGGCACAAATACGAAACGAACTCGAAACTAACTCTGGAATGAAGTCAAATGACAGCGACAAACGACAACGGCAGCGACAACGACAACGATTTTGTCTGAATATGCCTTTCCTATCTGCACACAACAAGCACTAAACCATAAAAAAAACAAATCACTTTCGGCACTCGCGCGACTCTTTCTGTTTTCTATTGCAGCGCCTCAGCGATTCGCACTTCCAATTGGGTTTGATTCCGAAAAATAATCCAATCGGCTCTGCGACCGAATGAATTTAGTGTGCCCGCCTGGTTTTCCTGTTATAAAACCACGACTTCGTGAATAAATGAGCAGATTTTCCTCTTCACAGCCTATGGTCATACATGGTTTGAACATAAAAATATTAAAATTGTGAAATTATCATAATTGTTATCTTTGGCCATAAAACCTAGGATTCTGAAAATAATGCAAGTTTTTTCGTCAATCTGAGTACATAACTCAAGTACTTAACTCAAATTTGATGGTACATTTTTTAGTATTACGATTTCTTTAGTATATTTTCCGATGAAGGGTCTATCCAAGCATTTTGGTATATTTTAGCGTGCGCGCCACGGTCACACTAAATTTGGAAATTACAAATTAAAAAAAACTGCTCCATTTTGCCAATTTTATTGAAAGTCAAAAAGTTTACGACGTGGATAACGGCAACGAATGGCTAGTCGTGGAGCCGGCGCCTCTATGGTTCACACGACGGTGACGTCGTCATCGCTGACGACGGTGGAGACGATCACCAACGTGCTGACCACGGTGACCTCGCTCCACTCGAACAGTGTAAACATCTCCAACAACACAGCGTCCTCGGGGGCGGACGGCGCTGGCGGTGATGGGGCCGCAACGGCCGCCGAGACGGATGCCAGCAAGCCGATGTACCCCCGCCTCTTCAATCGCATTGTGCTAACGCTGGAGAACAGCCTGATACCGGAGAGCCAGATCGATGTGACGCCGTCCAGCCAGGATGGTCTGGACCACGAGACGGAGAAGGATCTGCGCATACTCGGCTGCGAACTAATCCAGACGGCGGGCATCTTGCTCCGTCTGCCGCAGGTGGCCATGGCCACGGGCCAGGTGCTCTTCCAGCGATTCTTCTATTCCAAGAGCTTTGTACGCCACAACATGGAGACGGTGGCCATGAGCTGCTTGTGCCTGGCCTCAAAGATCGAGGAGGCGCCGCGACGCATCCGGGACGTGATCAATGTATTTCATCACATCAAGCAAGTGCGGGCGCAGAAGTGAGTTCACGTAGAATCTTTCGGCCCAAGAAAAGTTTTGATCCTTCCTCTTTTTCCAGAGAAATCTCGCCCATGGTGCTGGATCCGTACTACACGAACCTCAAGATGCAGGTGATCAAGGCAGAGCGACGCGTACTCAAGGAACTGGGCTTCTGTGTCCATGTGAAGCATCCACACAAGCTGATAGTGATGTATCTGCAGGTGCTGCAGTACGAGAAGCACGAGAAGTTGATGCAGCTCTCCTGGAACTTCATGAACGACTCCCTGAGGACGGATGTCTTTATGCGCTACACGCCGGAGGCCATTGCCTGTGCCTGCATCTACCTGAGCGCCCGTAAGCTGAACATTGCGCTGCCCAGTACTCCGCCCTGGTTCGGCATCTTCCGTGTGCCCATGGAGGACATCACGGACATTTGCTACAGGGTAATGGAGCTGTACACACGCCCCAAGCCCGTGGTGGAGAAGCTGGAGGCCGCTGTCGATGAGCTGAAGAAGCAGTACATGGACGCACGCAACAAGACAAAGGAGGCCAACACTCCGCCGGCTGTGATCACTGTCGATCGCAACAATGGATCACACAATGCCTGGGGTGGGTTTATTCAGCGGGCTGTTCCCCTGCCGCTGCCCTCGGAGAAGTCGCCGGAGAAGGACTCGAGGTCGCGTTCCCGCTCCAGGACGCGTACACAATCGCGTACGCCGCGCTCCCGTTCGCCAAGAACGCGCTCGCCGAGCCGCGACCGCACGAAGAAGTCCCACCGCAGCCGTTCCACGCGCTCACGCTCCCGCACACCGCCCAAGCACAAGAAGAAATCGCGTCACTACTCGCGCTCGGCCACGCGCTCCAGTTCGCCGCACAGCAAGCACCGCAAAATGTAAGTAAACGAGATTGTTTCCTTGAGGAACCCTAACAAATTATATGATTTGTTAATTTTAGGAGAAAATCCTCGCGGGACCGCAATGACTACTACTCGAAAAAGGAGCGGTCGGGGCACACCGGCAGCAGTAACAATGTGGGCAACGACGACAAGTATCGCAACTCGAGCTCCAATTCGGGCAAGCATAGTCGCTATGCCTCATCATCGCATCGCAGCAGTGGTGGGGACGGCAGAGGCGGCGATGGAAGAGGCAACGATGGGCGTGGAAACCATGGAGGCAGCCGTGGAGCCCACAAGCACCGGGAAAGCGATCGCTCCAGGGATCGCAAGCGTTAGTGAAAAGAAAACCAACCCAGAAACACTCCACACCGTTTTGATTTAATTGCTTTTGCATTTTACGACCTACAGATTGTTTGTACCGACCACAAACCTGGCATTAGTTCGACTTAGTAACTGTAACTAACGTAATGTATAATGTATAAACTGAACTTGAACTCGGGTAAAACAATAAATGTAACTCCTCAATCAAGCAGCTGCTTCGTCTTTGGAAACGCACACACATTTTGTCATCATTCTACAGATATCACAGTAATCCGACAGAGAAGGGCGGCCGAAAGAGAGCGAGACGGAAGGCATCCTCCAGAGCTTATACAGGATGGAGTACAACTACTAATCATTCAGCCAAGTTTCTTTGTTCTTAAAATGATTAAGAGTGGGAATTAATCATCCGACAAGACGGAGAATTACTCCCAGAATGCATGCAATCCCTGCCATACCCAGCGACCACAGTCCTTGTTGCAGCTGGGTAATCTAGCCCAAGATCGCTATACTAATACTAGCTGGGTAATGCTCCTGGGATCTTAGATGACGGCTGTGTACGACATCAGCGCGATCTGGGGGTGCGACAACGAGACATCGCGGAACTCCTGCGTGAAGGACAGGATGAAGAAGCTGAAGATGGTGGCGATGATCCACTCCGAAATGGAGCTAATCACATGGAAGTACCAGCCGCCATCCGAGGGGTACCTAGAACAGGGCAACAGGATTATTTATTAGCAATCATTTTAAGACTGATGGACCCACCACTTCCTCGGATTCTGGCCCTTGAACAGGATGTGCGACATCACGCCGGTCACAGCCAGCAGGATAAACAGTATGGTGCACACCACGGACATGCCCAGCCGCAGGTGGGCGTATATGCGGGTTCCAGACATGGGCAGGATCAGATACGAGATCAGCGCCTGCATCCAAAAGTACAAAGTGCCGCAGCCAAAGCAGCAAAAGGCGCCAATAAAGTGCACAATCCGAACGTTCGTCTCCTGGAAGTTGCCCACAAAGCTAATGCCCAGGCAGGACACTAGACCGCACCACAGGGCCAGGCGGTTGTGCCGCAGCACGGCAGCGTCCAGCTCTGGATGGTGTTCGTACAGTTGCAGCACCTGGCGGTAGCGCACGTAAATGGTGATTCCCACTGCAAGGCATGCGATAATAATTAGTGGGAGAAGAGAAATCGCCACAGCAACAGCAGATAACTGACTCATCCAGCCCCTGGAGTATGGCACTTACAGAGCACACTCCCAATGTTGATCAGCTGCCCAAAGACGCAGCTCTCCGGCGAATAGGTGGCCGCATCGCTAATGTAGGGCACTGTGGGCACCACATGTCCCTCCAACACGGCCACAATGTAGCTGTAGGGAAACGCAATAAACGGATAAGGATAGTGCACCTAGGAACACTGCCGCTGCGTACTTACGTTCCGATGAAGGTCACCTGGAAGATCAGGAACACGGCCACGGGCAGCAGATAAACCTGTGACATCGTGCAGGGGCAGCTGAGAATGCCAACTTGCCAGGGTACCGATGGTAGTGATTGATCTTAAACTGTATGCAATTGCGCTTCAGGCGAATAAAAAACTGCGCTCCAAAGAGAACTGCAATGTTTTGGCCAGTATTGCCAGACTAAAATGTGACCCTCAACCTAAAAAATCTCCCAAAGTGGAGACGCAAACCCAAGATTGCATTTTGCAATTGGACAATCTTAAAACAATGAAATATTGAGCAACATATTTTTAATAACAAAATTAATATTTTAAATTTACTTAATTTAACTTAAAAATTGAAAAAACATCGGTTTATATCTGTTGCTCCACCTCTAATAACCGTTTCAGTGTGACCAGCTGCAGCATTGTGCGACCACGCGGGCACACTTGCCAAGCGATAGCTTTCGAAAAAGAATTTAACGTTGGCGCTTGTTTATGTTTTTTTTTCGTTTCGATTCGTTTGTTTTGTGCAGATCCTGAGAAACGGCAAGCAAAGCAATGGCTACGCTACGCAACCACACAACGGCCAGCAGCGGCGGCGCCACGAACAACAACAACAACGGCCAGGAATTAACGCTCCAGGGACCGCAGGATGCTGGGGCAACGCTGGCCATCGGCTATGTGCGGGAATTCTGCACCCGGGCGGCCGCCTTCCAGCGCCAACGCACCGAGGAGGCTCTAATCTACGTGCAGCGCAGCGTGGCTCTGCTGGGGACCAAGGTGCAGCCTCACCACTTTGCTCCTGCACCGGGCAACTTGGAGCTGGCTCGCTTTTTCATCGATCTTCATGCACTGATGGGCGCCCTGGACAGCGAGGGCTCTGCTGCGGGCGGCAACCAGAGCGAGGGCGACGTTCTGTGGAGCTGCGTGGCTCTGGTGCAGCACTGCAGCCGTAATCTGGAGGCGCGCCGTGCCATTGTTGATAAGTTCTGCTTTGTGCCGCTGCTGGGACTGCTCATACGTCGCACCCAGAGGACGGAGCGCGTGTACAAGCTGCTGGTGTTGCTGCAGGACCTCACCTACGGCATTCACATCGCCTGGGAGGAGCCCTATCTGGCGGCACTGCTCGAGCATCTAGTGGAGATCGTGCACGGCTTGGACGGCGGCGAAGGAGGTGCTGGTAGTGGGGCCACCGGCGCAGTCGCGGAAGATTCGCACGCCCTGCTCGCCCTCTCCGTGCTGGTGAATCTCTGCTACAAGAACTTCGCCGTGCTGTTCCTCTTCCTGCGCAGCGTCAACATCTCGGCGTTCTGCCGGCGCATCCAGAGCTACGGCCTGCTGGCCTACAAGATGCTCATCATCCTGTCCGAGGACGTGCACGCCTTTGAGCAGCGCGAGCTGCACACCTTTTTGCGCACCGCCTTTGCCGGCATCGAGGACTGCCTGAAGCACTGGAACGTGGCCCAGTTGCGGCACATTGTAGACTTTCTGCTGGATTCGCAATGTCACGCCGGCCTGCACAGGGCGATGCTCTCGCACAGCCACTATTGCGAGGATGTGGAACGGCTGCTGAACGTAAGTTGTGGTGGTGGTGGTGGCGAACTCTCTTGATTCCTCTTCTTTTCCACAGCAAATCGAAACCCGAAGCAACGGCATGGACGACTCACAGGAGGAGTCGCGCAAGCATCAGGCACTCTGCCTGGACCTGGTCTTCCGTCTTGTCAGCTACATACTCCAGCTCTCCGGCGAAGATGAAAATGTCATCAGCCTGGACGCCATCACTCCGCGTCTACACGAGATTCTAGCCGACTGGTTGTCCTCGGAGCTGTGCGGCGTGGCGGCCATCGATTTGCTGGCCACCATGATGCGTCTGGGCAAGCAGGCGGCGGTGGCCAAGCTCATCGCCCGCGAGCCCACGCATGTGGTCAGTCTGGTGGCCAGCGCCGAGCGTCCGGAAACGAAACCCGCTCAAGTGGTGGCCATTCTGCGCCTGCTTCTCGTCCTGCTGCCCGAATCCAAGACTGAGAAGCTGGTGCTGGCCAAGATCTCCGAGTCGTATTTCGACAAAATCCTAGCGGCGCCGCTTTCTCTCATGCCGCAGTACCTCAACACCCAGAGCCTGTTGCCGGCTGAGGTGGAGAAGGCCTGCTTCTGTCTCCTGCTGCTGGTCAATGTCGCGGGCATTGCGAAAAAGGCGTATTTGGACAAGTGCTGCACGCTGCTGGAGCAGCCGCAGCTGCAGTACTGCCTGGCCCGCGGCATGGTCAGCAATAACGAGCCACTGGTGTCGGCCGTCCTGCAGATAGCCCAGTTCGAGCACTTCCCCAAGGCGGCGGTGGCCAAGCATGTGGCTGGCATCAGCTGCAGCAGCGCCGGTCTCTCGGTAGCTGCGGCCCCCACGGCATGCTCCAGCGACCAAGCGGCGGAGCAGTGGCGCAATCTGAGCTCAATCCTCAAGGGCCATCGCACTTTTACGGACAAGGACATGGCGCAGCGAGTCAACGCCTTGCTGGAGAGCATAGGAGGCATTGTAAGCCGCAATGAACTGGCCACGGCTCCTATTTCGCAGGTGATTGAGCTATATAACCATCGTATTGACAGCCTGAATGGGGCTAGGGTGAACCTGGAGCAGCGGCTGGAGCAGGCCGGCCAGCAGCTGATCAGCGGCACCCAGCTGGCCCATGTCCAGGCCGCCGAGCTGGAGCGCTTCCAGACTACGAACTTTGAGCTGCTTATCAGCCAGGAGCGGTGAGTGAGGGGGTGGAGAGGGCCTTTGGCTTGGGATCATGACTATCTTTTCGCTATTTTCCCATTGCAGCCTCCAAACCCAGTGCAAGGATCTCAAGCATCAAACGAACAAGCTGAAGAGCAACATGACCAATCTGCTGAAGCAGCTCTCAGAGAACTCGGCCAGCCTGCAGGCCAACGAACGCCGCCTGGGTGTGAAGAAGTCCGAGATAGCCAGCCTGCGCAAAGACTGCGAGGAGCTGCGCCAGAGCCTAAACACCAAGAGCGAAGAGTTCACCAAACTGGAGGCTCTCAACAAGGAAAACGTAAGAGCTTTTCACCCTAGCAGCTGCCCATATTAATTCTTTATTTATTTTTATTTTTTTGCAGACTTCCCGCATCGACAAGCTCAAGAAGTCCACGTTAGCCTACGAGCAGGACATCAAGGAGAAGGTGCGCTCTATCGAGGAGCGCGAACGGGAGCTGGCAAAGACACACAAGGCCTTGGAGGAGCAGCGCGAGGCGTGCAAGAAGTCTGAGGATCTCATCTCCGTGCTGGAGACACAGCTGCAGGAGCGCAAGCAGCAGATCGAGAATCTCGAAATGGAGCAAAAGGAGACGGAGGACCTGCGCACGACCATCATGAGCCTGATGGAGAGCAAAAAGCCCAAGCGCAAGACCTAGAAAGGAGAGTTAAGAGTCGCAAAAGTTAGTTAATTATTAAGAAACCTCTCTCGCTCATTTTGTAATATTTATATACATTTATTGCGTCTTGCACGTCCAATCATTACAATACATAATCATATAATATATAATAATGCAGAATCCGTGCAAGGGTCCAATTACAAAGTCCAATTCAACCGAGAGTATAAAACAAGAGGGGTATAAGCCGGGCGTGGGTGGTTTTCAAATTACTAAATGTTCGGGCCTTGTGCGGTCTTAACTGCATCTATATCTGTGTCTATATATTATGTGTATGTCTGTATTGTGTATATTTTCGTATAAATTTACTAAAGGGTCCTGGGACCCATCTTTGCGCTTACATCTCTAACACACCAGCTCAGCGACTTGCTAGGACTATCATTATCATATAATTAAAAACGGAATAAAGTGCGGAATAGCGTACAAAGGAGGAGGCATCACAAACGAAGCAAGAAACGTGTGTCCAACTTGGGTTATATACATATCTCGGTATATACACAGTGCACCAGGTGGAGATGGAGTTGGTAGCCGGGGAAGAGGTAGCCAGAGCGAGAGTCGCCAGAACCGGTATTACAGCAGCATCAGGCAGAAGCGACAACTGGAAACTGGGAGGAGGAGTGAAGGAGACCCTTGCCTCCTTACGAGCCAAAGTGCTCCTTGTCCTGGTCAATGGGCGCAAACTCGTAGCTGCCGCGTCCATCGAACTGCAGGTAGTAGTCGTGATGCACCCAGAGCGACTTTCGATGCGAGACGGTGAAAAGCGTAATGCCCACCTCGCGGCAATAGCTATACATCTTGCCCTCAACGTCCACGGAGACGGCACTGGTGCACTCGTCCAGAATGGCGAACTGCGGCCGATGGTAGAAAAGTCGGGCCATGGCTATGCGCTGCTTCTCACCGCCGGACAGCACGTCGATCCAGTCCTCGATGGCATCCAGACCGTTCTCGCGCTGCTCCAAGTACGTCAGCTGCACAATGTCCAGGTAGTGCATGAGATCCTCGTCGCTCTGGCCCATGCGGCGCATATCCTCGCGCGTATGCGGATAGATGATCTGTTTTAAGGTAAGAAAAAAATTCCAAGGGTTAACCAAGAGTTCAAGAAACGGCACCTACAATCTCTCATCTACATAAGTGTGAATTTCCCCATGGAAGCCATCGTTGATTCAATGAATATACAAATATGTCATTATAAAATCGCGTTAAGTAACCATCAAGTTGGAGCTGGAAAATATCGATTCTCAATGCATCGATTTTGTTCAATCCTAATTTTAAATTTAATTTAAAAGTTACAGCAAATATGTTATACTTTTCCTGACGTTTATTTTTTAATTTTTTTTAAATAAAAGTTGACAAATAAATCTTATTTTCATTTATTATTGTTTTCACAATTAATAGTTATTACTCAGCTTTTATATAAAAAAGAAAAATTCATAATTATCCGATAATTTTGATTGAATTTTTATTTTTATTTTAATTTTTTTCAATAAACGTTGGCCAATAACTCTTATTTTCAATTATTATTTTAAAAATCAAGAGTTATTATTAAACTTTTATATAAAAATGAAAAATTCATCATTTTTTGTATTGAAAGTAAATAATAAAAATAAAAAAAAAAATTGTTTTTATATTACAAGAAAATAACTCTTATTTTCGAATTTTTATGACACAAATTATAATTGTTACAATCCCTGTTTTAAACAAAGACACCTCCTCAGTAAACCTTATCGGTTTCACATCGATTAATTGCGATTTTATCTGTGCCACGGAAAGATAATACAATCGCTTTTTAAGACTATGCCTGAGTTTCGAAATTCCCCAGTAAAAGAAGTCATAAATCTATGACTGGAAGCGTGCTTGAGCTTGGTACTCACCTGGTCACGCAGCGTTCCCAGTGTCATGTACGGCCTCTGAGGTATGTAGAACAGCTTGCCGCGCGAAGGCTTCGTCACCTTGCCGCCCCACGTGGGCCACAGTTCGCCGAGGATACGGAACAAAGAGGACTTGCCGCAGCCGTTGGGACCGCAGACGAGGACATTGGTGCCAGATCTGGAAAGGAAGAGAAACCATTAAGAAAATCTCTTGTATTTGATATCAATTAAAATCAAATGTAAAACGGAATCGCTTTTATAATGCCTGACTTTCTGATCTGATCTCTCACAATTAAGCTATATTATTAACTCTTACGAGAACCGACCTTTGGCCTTACCTATGCCCATTAATGAGGGAAAATAATGACAAATAACTGACTGAGGTCGTTTTTTATAAATATTTGTGTGTTGGGTCATTGGTGTCGAGCTATGAGATCGTTTATCAAGTGCCAGCAGAGGCAGTCATTCATAAAGTCAAAGTGTTTAACTGGCAGGCAGACCGTAAAATAAACTCAACCCCCACGATCACTCGAATCCCCTCTCAAACCCGAAATCAGGCGGTCTCTCCGTAGTGGGGCTCCCATTTTTGTTATGGTATTCGTAGAGAAACTCTTACAGAGTGCAGCTAATTGTAGAAGATTTATGCTTACTTCACTTCAAAGGTCAGCTCCTTGAGTAGCACGTCACCGTTGGGAGTGACCAGCGGCACCTGTTCGAAGCGGATGATGTTGTCCTCAAAGCACATGATTCCCTTGTTCGGGCCAAAGCTGCTGGCTGCTCCCGAGCCGTCGGCATTTTGCGTAATGTTGTTGCCATTGACCATGGTGCGCTCGTAGGTGCCCTTGTTGAGGTCGCCAAGCACCTTGATCAGCTCGGTCATGCGGGCGGTGAAGCCGGCAAGACGGGACATCTCGCGTCCGGCCAGAACCAGGCGTCCAATGGCCTCCGCCAGCTTGACCAGCATGCGTCCGTATGTGTAGTAGGCCTGCAGGCGCTGGCCGCTCTGCTCGCCGGACAGCAAAGGATGATTGTCGGTGAAGAAGGGAATGGACACAGCATAGAAGCCCACAATCGAGGCGAAGTCTGTGAATGAAGGTTTAGTTTGGGTTACAACAAGAAGGGAGCTATTTCTAAGCACTTACATTTGCCAATGATGTTGTCAATGATGCCCATGCTGACGCGGAACTCGAGGAACTTGCGCAGATGCGAGCGCAGCTTGGAGTAGCTGGCCAACAGGGTCAGCTTCTCGCGCACATTGCCCTGATAGAAGGCCACCTCCTCCGAGTTGGTGATCAGCCGGCTATTCACATACCGGAACTCGCCCTCCAGCTTCTGCTCCTCGACAGTGAGGCGGCCAGTGGGACGGCGCAGGCGTGTTAGGAAAACACCGGCGAAGAGCAGATAGAGCATCAGGATCGAGGGCGTCTTACCGCCCAGGTTCACGGTCAGGCGGTACACGTAGATGAATATATCCAGCACGGGCTTACTGATGTTCGAGTACAGGTCGGTGGCGCTCTCGCAGAACTTGTCAATGTCCGTGGTCAGCAGCTGGTCAGCGTTGGCTATCCTGTTGTCCAGGTTCGACATTTTGTAGTAAGTGTAGCCACTGCAAAACGCAAAATAAATTAAGGGGGGGTTTGGGGGGTTTAATAAGAGTTTGCGAGTAAAACAAAATCCAAAGCCTAAGCCTAAGAGGGGTGGCTTGATTGTTAGGTAAAAATGTATTGCCTGCTAGCACTGCATAGTCTGTTTAATTCCTTTTAAATCTTGCACACCGCATACATATCAGTCAGTACTACATATATGTTTACTTCCAACTATATAATCATCAAAAGTGATACATATTACCATATGGTAAAAAAAAGCGAGCGAGCAATGCAAGAAAGAGTTGGTTACCCTAATTGTAGGTCTACTGTTACATTATTTATATAATTATTAATTAATATAATTAGTAAAATTATTCTTATTTTATTGATATTAAAGGTTTGTCAAGTATTTAACGTCTTTAAAAACATCTACAACCAATAATCGCTCGACAAGTTAGACTCGTTTCCAGACATTTACATAAAAACAAGATAAAATCTTGGTTAGCTAAATATATTTTAAGATAATATACTCACTTTAGGTACTGACTGTACAGATGATGTGTGAGGTTTGTGCGAAAACGGAGCTTCAGCTCGCCAAGACTCCACTTGAGGACGTTGGTCACCACGGAGATCTGGAAGAAGCAAGTCAAAGGGAATATAGTAATAATTGCTTCAAGTTCAGTTAACATTTTTCTAGACTTACCGCTGGTAGAGCTGTCAGATACTTGAGCAGCGCCGTCTTGAACTTGGCTCGGTTCATGTGGATAATGGTGCTCTCCACCACAGTGGCATTCTGGATCATCCAGATGTCGCTGACAGAGCGGCCAATTAGGGCGGCAGCAACCAGGAACAGCAGTCCCGTCTCCACGCTCCAAAAACCAGGTATAAGAATGGCTGAAATAGGTGGTGACCCGAGCTAGAAATTGCTACTAGATGAGAGCTGGAAATTTACTTACGGAGCAGCTGACGGAGCTGTTTGAAGAATACTGAATTGACATGGGCCTTGCTAGCCTTCTTCTCCTTCTTTTCGGCAATTGTATACTGGATCTTGTCCTCATAGCCGGATTTCCTGCACATTAAAGAAGGTAATATTAATAAAGATAAGTTATAAATATCTGTAATAGATAAATGATAAAATAAAGACAATTAATCAACTCAAAACCTGCATATTAACCTGTGCCCTTTGCCAGCCAAGTTAAGTTATTTAATACGCCATCCCCTACTCAATAATTTGCCAATAAAGACGCGATACATGTGTTTACGGTCGCCATAAACCCTTTTATTTGCACTTCACCGAGATAGTAATGAAGATGATCCATGACGGGTCCCTGACAGCCATATAATAGAGGAATTTAATTGGTATTATCTTGACAAACGTTTGAACGTTAGACCCAATGGCAGCGGCTATAAGTAAAGCCAAAGTATATCAATTTTTATCAGAAATGAGTCACATTAAAGCTAAATGGAAGTCAGACTGAATAACACAGTCATTAATGGTAATTGCAGCACAATCAAGCCAGCATTATATGTT